GGGGGGGGAATTAGGAAAACGTTGGTGTGCCGGTGTCTTCCGAATTGCAGGAGGAAGTTCCAGGTAGAGGGGTGGGGAAGGCAATAAGAAGTGGCCGCTCTTGATATAGATGAGATCCTCACGAGCCACAGAGGGGAGTCTTTCTAGATTCTTCCCCATCTGCCACACTTAGGTCACATTATGATGCTAAGGTAATGCTCCCTTCCTTTAAGCAGGTAATGGGAAGGGTCACGCTTCTTCCTGGGTCTTTGTTTCTTAAAAATAACCAGCTTAGCCCCGGCCGGTTTGGCTCAGTGGTGTGTCAGCCCACAGACCGAAGGGTCTCAGGTTCGATTCCCAGTCAAGGGCATGTACCCAGGTTACAGGTTCCCCGGCCCTGGTAAGGGTAAGGGCACCTCGTTGGGGAGGCAACCAATCGATGTCTCTCTCTCATGTCTATGTTTCTCTTTCTTCCCCACCCTCCTCTCTCCTTTCCATTCTCTCTAGAAATCAATGGGGGGGAGAAGGGGGAATAACTAGCTTAAAATAATTGATATTCCCAAGCGGCATATTTTGGCAAACCCTGCTTCCCCTCACTGGCCACTTAACCTCCCGGAGCCTCAGTTCTTTCATCAGAAGATGGGATTGACCTTTGATGTGTTCTCACTGGCTGTGTTCTCACGTTGCATGAAACACCAGTGCATTGAAGTGGAGAAAACGGTGGTTTTGTAGGTTATGCTATGATTTGTAGATTGAAAGAAAGATTCATAAACCATGCTCATAAATGAGTCACCCATGGAAAGCAGGTGACACAGAAGTAGCGTCAGGCTTCAGAAATAGCCCCAGAAAACCCGGAAGGAAAGCCTGTTTTACAGGATCCCCTACCTCCCATCACAAGTGCTGTCTGTTGGAAGCCTTGTAAAAGGCGTTTCACCTGGTCTTTCACCGCTTCCTCATTGTCCCTTTGTCTTACCAGGCAGCACGCCAGGCAAAGAGGGGAAGGGGGATTGTGGAAGAGGCGCCTGCTGTCACTTCTAGTCGAGCAACACAGAAGTTGCAGATCTAGAAATTGATTCCTTATCACTCTTCATGTGCACCCTGGAAAATCCTCCCAATTTTGTGAGCCAGGGCCAGGACTAGTGAAGTGAGTGACGGACGCTCTCACTTGGGGAACAAAATTCAAGGAAGCACCAAAAAACCCTCAGTAATCATGATAAATAATGCTTGGATGTGATACTTTTAAAAATCAAAATTAATGCAAAAAAATTCATGATGAACAAAACATCAAAATTTAAAATAAAGATCCCAGGACAGGTGCGCCCCAGCTTGAAGTTCACAGGTCTGGGTCGGGAAGGTAGGGCACTGGTGGCTGGTGAGCACGGGTAATGATTCTCTTGCCAATACTGCCACCTGCTGGGAGAAGTGAGTAATTCTCGCTACCTGAACAACAGGTGCCCACAAGGGCGCTTCTCCACCAGGGCCCACGCTCAGGCACAGAGGCGCGGTGCCCTCTTGCCAGCAGCCACCCACTTCAGGAACTTTGAAACGCCCCTGGCCACCTACTTCCTGCCAGATGGCTGAGTGGGGGTAAAAAGAGCCCAAGACTCAGTTGCAAGACCTACATTTGAGTCTTGGCTTTGCCTCTGGCTTGCTTGGGCCTCCTTGAATAAATCACATCACCCTCCTGGGCCTGCGTTTCTGCACCTACAGTGAATCTCATTAGCTCTTCCCTTAATTATGGAATTATGTGAGAGGCTTTCTGTGACAATGCCAAGCAGACTGGCCCAAAATATGCTGCCTCCACCAGCCCGCCCACTACCATGGATCGAATCAAACTATCACCAATTTATTACCGAAGGCGAGACAGCCCAAAAGACAGCCAGGCAGAACAAGGTGCTGCGGAAGTCCAGACCGTGGATGGTGCCGTGGCTGATGGGATGGGGAAGGCTTCCCCTAGGAGGTGTCGCTGGAGCTGGGCCTACATGACTGGAAGGGCCAGGTCATGCCAAGAGCTGGCCAGTAGCCTCTGGAGACCGCTAGGCCACTTCTCTCATGATCTATCTCAGGAACATTCAGCACCTGAGGTAAGCATTTCTGTGATGGCAGGAAGGCCAAGGCCCTTGTAATCAGCCCTGGGCTAAACCCTGGCTCTGCCACTTACCAGCTGCGTGACCAAAGGAAAGACCTTGAGCCTCAACTTACTTTTCTAGGAAATGGGGATAACACATCTCGTCCTGGGTGGGTAAGATGAAAAAAGACAGCATCTCCTGCAATATGATGGACTCAGCGAGTGGGAGCTGTAATTGTTCACATGAGTTTTCTGCGAGGAGCGGGAAGGAGAGGGGCCCACCAGTCAGGCAACGCTGGCAACCCTCACCTTTGGCTTCTGGACCCCCCCCCC